GATTTTTTGTACAATGTTACCAGTTGCGCAGTTTAGTTTTGCCATATTTTATCCCGCTATTTTTTGTATGTTACGCTTGTTTTCGCCTTATCATACTTTTATTTTTCAACAAACCATAGTAACCTTATGTTTATGATGCTTTTTCGTACATTCATCGTCCGCTTGTCTTCTTTCCGCATCTCCGTGGGTTAATTCATTTGTAATATTAGTTTTACTTTTGTTTTCCGTAAGTCGTTTCGTTCTTACGTATAACTGAATGAGGATTTACAATTGATTTTACAGCGCATGTTAATTCATTTGCACCATATAAGAATCGATTGTCCTTTCCACATTTTTAACATTTGTAAAGTATCGTTAATTTGAGGAGGACTCGGAAAAAAATCCGAGTCCCAGATGGGACTCCTCAAATTAATATCATGTTGTTGTTGTTTCATCTTCAATATAAAGTATCGTTGTCATTTAAAAACTTCACTGGCCACCGTGCGCCTTGTCTGCGTGAAGATAAGACTGCGCGGATAACGTGACCGGTGCCTACCTGTATTTTTTTCAGTCCCGGTGCTTACATGTATATTCCCATTTGGCGGCCACTAAAAAAAACCTCCAACGAGCCTTTACGTAAAGTAAAAACTTATTCTGTTAGTGTCAGGATGTTGCAGTTTTCTTTAATAAAGACGTGATCATCATGAAACCGCTAATGATAGCTGTACTCATGATGGAGATTGCTTTTTTGGGGCGGTAATGCCTTTTGGAAAACGGTAGAAGTTGCACTTCAAAAACTTCTTGGGGGGGGGGGGCTCCATGACTGCTTGCGACTTCCCCTGCTACTTACAACAAATACCCGGCAACTTGAAATCTTAGTGACAACCCTGAATATACCTGTTTCACTAGTATCTGAGCTACATAATCACAATTATACCCGCAGTGCATGATCTAATCAAATAGTTATATCCCCATTACGAACTCATCGCAGAAGATTCTCCCCCTGCGTTATTGGAAGATTCTTTTGGAATAGCATTCCGCAATTAATGTATTATTTTTGCCCCCGAATACAGCATTCTCTCTTCCCTCCTCACCACATTGACAGGCAAATTATACCTCAGCAACTGTGAATAAAACCGTTGAATTAGGAGCATTGTTTATTGTCAATGATTCCTTTTCTTGACGCAGGAACTAAAAGGGAGTTTCTCTGATTCACCTACACAAGTAACCACCCACCCCTCCCTTACTCGGCAAGCTTTTATTTGTTACGCCGGCTGGTACCTAAAAAAACACATAACTCGCCGGCAGATGACTTAAACCATGATGCGTAGAACTGATATTGTAAAAAAGGACATTTCTTGATTCAACCTACTTGAAAGAAAGTGCTCAAAGATTTTTTTCAACTGAACTACATATAACTAGAAGAATCTCTGGCAAAAAAATCGATTTGAACACAGCGCTATTTTCAGGTCTCAAAAAACTCGCCAACATTTTTCTTTGAATCATTTTTAGAACATTTGCTAAGAAACTTAAGTTTGAAAGTTGAACTAACCCGAACCACCCATCCCATTGTTTTAGGCGGTGAGGCAATTAAAGTTGGGTTCTTGCCACAGACCGATTCCAAAGCAGGTGATTCCTTTTACTAATGCATTAATACTGAGTTTGCTAACAGTCGATCAGATGGACACAATAACCACGTATAAGCAAATCCCGATAAGAATTTGGTCTTGCGTTTCATTCAGTTCTGAAGAGTTTTCAATTGCATCGAAGTCCCAAAAACTTTAAATAGTTTTAATATAGACAGTTGATTCTCCTTATTTTGCAAGATGTCATAGATAGGTTCCCTTTTTATTGATGCAACAGCCATACTTAAATAAATATTTAAGACTGTATAAACTAGACATAACTTAACAGTGCTAATGATCGAAAAAACCCACGTAGTGTCTAAAGCCTTACTGAACAGTATATTCTTCTTATTTGGCAAGTCGTCAAAAAGCTACTGTTGTTAAAGACTAATAATTAAAGCATAATTTAAATTTTAACTGTATTGGTCGAAAAACCCATTAAGCACTCCCGAGCATTGAAATAACATTTTCAAGAACTTTTAAGTAAAGCTAAAGGGAACCTATCATTTTTTCGCTTTTCAAAAGGAATATAGAGGATTCGATGTAAATTCTTAAAGCAATGGTTGTAGTTAGATTTTTGGACGCACAAAAAACGATTTTGCGATGGCTGCTGATTGGCACTTTTAGTCAGACCGGTGACGTCATTGATGGTAGAATAAGGCATTTACGAAAAGACTAAACATAAAGTCTTCTCTGAAAATATAACTTTCCCTCCACCCCAAATCACCCTAAAAAAAATTTGCTGAGTCAGTCTCAGTTTTATGCTTTTTATGTTGTATGTCAACAGTTAACTAAAGAAAAATAAACTTATAAGTTGACGCTCGAGACATTTTAATTAATATAACCTTATTAAAGAAGAAGTAGTTTGATATAAAGCCATATTGAATTGCAGTGCAGAAAACTGTAAAGATATTTTCTAACCCCAAAGAGGCTTGGAGCTAAAAAAAATAATCAATTTTGGTAACGTCTCCTTTAAGGGAGCAATACCCAGGCGACGTTTTTAATGTCTTGTTTTATAAGAATGTGTTATTTTTTTCCAGAGCCTTTATCGTAGTGACCAATACGTTGGCCGTATAAATTGCATTGGTTGAGGTTTCAAGACTTGTCATCAATTGGCCCTCACAGACAGCAGCGAGGTACCAGACAAAGAAAGTCATAGATAATAAACATTTAATATTGCTTAGAAAACTGAAGGTTTTTAGGACGGCTATCACTTCACAGGACACTGCTTTTGGCAGTGTTTGTCAAGTTCATCAACTAACCAATACGTTGGCGTATGCAGTGCATTGCGTGAGGTTTCAAGACTTGTCGTTAATTGGTCCTACCAGAATACTAAAGCGACATAACAGACAAAGAAAGTCATGAATAACAAACATTTCATACTGTATAAAAAAAACTGGTGGTTTTTTTAGAACGGCTATCACATTACAAAACACTGTTTTTGGCACTGTTTTTAGGACTGTTGATTTTCCTTATTTGGCAAGTTATCATAGAAAGGTTCCCTTTTTATTGATGCAAGATACTTAAATTAATTTAAGACTTTAAACTAAACCGATAACAGTGCTAATGATCGAGAAAACCCACGTAGTCTCTAAAGACTTATACAGAGAACAGTATATTCTTCTTACTTGGCAAGTCGTCAAAAAGAGTACTGTTTATAAAGACTAATAAAGCTTTGAAATTTTAACTATATTGGTCGAAAAACCCATTAAGCACTCCCTAGCGTTGAAATAACATTTTCAAGAACTTTTTTTAAAGCTAAAGGGAACTTATCATTTTTTCGCTTTTCAAAAGGAATATAGAGGATTCGATGTAAATTCTTTTTGAAAGAAAAGTAATTAGTAAGTTGTAATTAGATTTTTGGACGCACAGAAAACGATTTTGCAATGGCTACTGATTGGCGCTTTTATTCAGAACGGTGACGTCATTGATGGTAGAATAAGGCATTTATGAAAAGACTAAACATTTTCTTTTCTGAAAATATAACTTTCCCTCCACCCCAAATCACACTAAAAATAATTTGATGAGCCCGTCTCAGTTTTATGCTTTTTATGTTGTATGTCAACAGTTAACTAAAGGAAAATAAACTTGTAAGTTGACGCTCGAGACATGTTAATTGATATATAAATTTATTAAAGAAGAAGTAGTTTGATATAAAGCCATATTAAATTGCAGTGCAGAAAACTGTAAAGATATTTTCTTACGCCAAAGAGGCTTGGAGCTAAAAAAAATCATCAATTTTGGTAACGTCTCCTTTAAGGGGGCAATACCCAGGGGACAATTTTTTGTCTTGTTTTTATAAGAATGTGTTATGTTTTCCAGAGCCCTAAGCGTAGTAACCAATACGTTGGCGTATGAAGTGCATTGGTTGAGGTTTCAAGACTTGTCATTAATTGGCCCTGCCAGATTGAAGCGACGTATCCGCACAAAGAAAGTCATGAATAACAAACATTTAATATTGCATAACAAACTAGGATGGCTATCACTTTACAAAACACTGTTTTTGGCAGTGTTTGTCAAGTTCATCCACTGATTTTACGAAGTTTGCCAACCGTGAACAGTTTCACTAATCTGAGATGTTCTCTTTATCCTTCTTCCCGCTTCTTCCGTTGTTTTCTGCGATACCCAATGTAGTCTTTGCTCAACTGGAAGGTTGGTTTTTCTTCGCTTTATTGATAGTCGAGTGAAATTTCATGGAAAAAACCTTTTTACTCTGTATAAGTTAGAGGGAAATCTATGAAGAGGACAGTTCAGGGAAGATGGAGGCAAACAAGCTTTCCTCATTATAACGATATGCATGTAAAACAACACCCGCGGATAGTATTTTGTCACTAACTAACATGGCTCTTTTTCTGTTTCGCTTGGTTAATTACTTTAAATTTCGCTGAAAATTGCGGCCGGCATGTTAGAGAAATGTATGACAGTCCCTAAAGTTGAGCTGGGGAGGGAGCTTAATCAACTAGGACAATCAACTCTATCGCGTTTATAAAGTTTAGTTTTTATCGCGATACTTTATTTTGTTTCGGTTAATTTGTTAAACACTGATGAACGCTGTAAATTTTCCTTGAGTGTAATTCTTAAGGAGCAAGAGCCATAATGGTCCCAGTTATGGCACGACATTAACAGTCAAATAAATAACAGTAGTAGACTGCCAGAAAATCTCTAATTAATTTCATGAAGATGATAATTCCCATTTTTCTTCTCCTGACTTCTAGGCTTTACTTTCAGCTAAGGTGTTTGAATTCCAGTTCACATAACGCGTTCAATTTTAAAAGTCATTCTTAAAGTCGGGAACTCCCTAAATTAAGAGATATCTTAGTGCACGACCGTTGCATTCTAAAAAGGTAAATTTCAAAATCATTCTTTCTTATTAATGATTCTTCAGAATTCACCACCATGTATCATCACAGCCTTCGTCAAGATGTCTTTATAAAGGAAAAGTACCATTATTTAAACGTTCCTAAAGTTGGAACATTTATAGTGTATGACAGCCTTGACTGCACCTTTGAATGCCTCGGCAATCCTTCCTGTTTGTCCTTCAACCTGGCAGCTTACAAAGGAGGAGATGGAAAGTTGCGGTGTGAGTTGTTATCCTCAGAAAAGTACAGCAATTCTGAGGAATATAAAAGGAACGAGAGTTTTCATCACTTTTCCATCAAGGTGGGGTAAAATCTTTGCATAGAGTTTATTAAAGTAAGATATTTTTTTGACATCCCAGTCTATGCGATTTTTAATAACCTGTCACGAATACGAATCGACATAAAAGTGACTACTGCACGATAACAAGTCGGGGTTATTCAGTCGAATGTCACTTCCTCATTTTTTTCTGCAATCAACACTTTTACGCAAAACAAAATTACCTTAATTATATGGCATTTGACATCGACCTTTTTTAAAATTATTTCAGACTCCATGCATGTCATCACCTTGCCAAAACGGAGGCACCTGTGTAGCTAACTACAAGTATCACACGTTTGACTGCCGTTGCAAAGAAGGATTTTATGGAGAATTTTGCGAAAAAGGTAATTGATATTCAGACCAGGGCCCCGGTTCAAGATAGGACAACTAAACTTAGCGGGTTTACCTAAAATTTATCTGGGAACATTTTCAAGGCGTTGTAACGTGTACGTCAAAATTGATGTTACCATGGCAACCGAGTTTTGACAGCCATGTGTTTCAAAATTTGCATTTTCTTTAAAAAATAGGTTTTATTTCTTTTTTTTTTACTGATTGAATAATTAGGTTATCTACTTCTTTTTTTTTCAGTTGCCAAGTCATGCCAAGACGTTTATAATCAGCTCACAGAAAAGTGAGTAAACCTATGCATTAAGTAATTTAATTAATGAGGATAGATCAGTTCAAGTCCGGGGGATCATTCGGAGTGCCGTCAGTACTTTGTTTATGAGCCTCAAAAACAGCCAAAAAAATCACTCGGCAAGCCTCAAAAGCGAAATACATTTTGTGTTGCAGAGAATGTCGATATCACTAAATTGTTAGAATTTGTATCTTGGCTGATGGATTCTATTTCAGCCTTTGTTCTCCACCTTCGAAACTCAAGGTTATTATGGACCTAACTCGTAAAAACTGTTGAATTTTTAAAACAAATGATTGGTACTGTTCAGATAATAAAAACCATAAACTATGAACACCACCATCCTGCACGGAAAGCCCTCCACCAAAGTTGTTGATAAAATTCAGTTGAACGCCTCCCTTTCTCTGAATACGAACACCTGTATAAAACGAATGGTTCGTTTGTACCGACAAAAAGTTCAGATATTTCAGTGCTCATAAGTTAACCTGGTTAATATGGAAAACGAACACTTTTCTGTGTCCCGAGTCTCAAACTGTCATATAATAATTACCGTAAACTCCCCCGGGAGGTCCTCAATAAAGTTTTATAAGGGGAAGCTCATGACCAGCCCTGGGTCCAACTCCTTATCTTTTACGCCTATCATTTTTGCAGAAAAGGTACTCCTTTCGTATCCCATTCCATCCCTTTTGGAAATTTAGATTGGACTGAGACTGTACTGAATTCCATTCATTTATGTTTGTAACAAAGAGCGAACCTTTTTCTTTTTTTTTTTACAACCAGTTAAGGTACATTCCATTTTTCTCTCTCCGACAGTTGGGAGCTGGAAAAATTAAAATGAGATTTCATTTTGTACAGGTTGAACGTGACTCAGTTGGTCACTCTCCTCCTTGACTCCAAACTGGTTTCAGTTCTCTGTCACTTTGGAAATTTTGGATGCGGAGATGGAGGATGGACACCGGTGATGAAGATGGACGGCAACAATGTAAGACATTCGTGTACGTTTTCCCATAGTTTGGCAACGAGAGTGGAAAAAAAATGTGCTGTTAATAATTAAATACATGCAGGTTTGCCGCTGTCAGCGGTAATTTTCAATTATCCTAGCCTGCGAATACGGAGCCGTTTCTCCTTGCTCCTCGTCGCTAGGGACGTTTCATCAGGAGGAAAGTCTGGACCTCAGCGACAGAAATTCCATACTAATGACGTAAAATTGCAAAATTTTCTGGGGGAGCATAATCCCAGTCCTCCAAGTTTGAAGCGCCTTCGGACCTCTAACTTTTCTTCTCGTTGGTACATGCTAAGTCCTTGGACCTGACAGAGTTAAGTATTAAGAACACCTTTAAGCTTCTGGAATATCTCTGTCAGTAGCAGAAGTCATCCGCCCTTCCTGTCAGACGATGTGAAGTTTTTAATCAAAACGCAGAAGCCTGCTCCCTGTACTTGCGAATAAGCGAGAGTTAAAGATAGTTATATTCAATTCGGCATTTTTCAATCGCATCAATGATTAAAGAGTGCAGTATTTGTTTACTTTTTATTCTCTCGGTGACCATTAACGCCATTTCGCCAGCTGTGGCTTAGACAACTTTATTTTATAAAGCTGGAGAAGCAAGGACGTTGCAGATATTCTTTTTATTGTAATGGATCTTTCATTGCAAAATCTTTTTTTCTTCTTTTCCTGTAAGGATGTTGTCTTTAGAAGAAAAAAGAAACCTTTAGTTTTAACTTTTCTTTTTAAAGGACATTTTTCCTATTTCTTCCTCCTTTCTACCATAGCAAACATTTCATTACGAAACAGCCTTTTGGAGAAACAAAGAAACCTTTAACCTTGACGGAGGGAAGACTGGGTTTGACTCACAAGAGACTAAACTACCCTCCTACTGGAACACATCCTTCTCCAAGATCTGCCTCGGTATGAAGATCGGTCAGCACATCAGGTTTATTGTCATCAACAAGCAGGTGAACTCCTTGTACTCTCTGATCGCTGATGGGCAATACCGCGCCACCTCACTGGGTCGTGACACGTGGAAGTTGCTGATTGGTTCTGAGGCCTCCTTGCAGCTCAGCTGTAACAAGGAAGGATTTAATGCTGTTTGTGATAATGCTGGTTATTCCAAAGCAAGAATCGGGATCATTAGTAACGACAATGACAATTGCATCTTCAGTGAGTCTAGAATTGGATTTGGTACTGGAGGATATCCTGATAATAGCAGCTCGTGTGGAAACGAGGCTAAGTGGGCTCCAGATAATGGCGAAAAACATATTAAGGCAATGGGATATATTTTGGTGCAGTAAAAAGAAACTTATCTGGGTTTATCTACCTTGGCGCCAAAAAAAAGCTAGCTTAACTGAACTCTAGATCCTGTTCGTTTTTTTGAGGATAAACAAAAGAAAATAAGTAACCATTATACATTAAACTGAAGCATATAACCCTTTCTGTTAGAAATCAAGGATACACTGGGAAACCAAGATAAAAATCGTTGGCTGTGTTTATCTCAGTTACTCCTCAAAGGTAGTACGCGCTAACAAAACTATCTTATTTTAAGATTGTATGTGAGTGTTCAGGTTTTACTTTTTTTTGTCATTGTTTTTGTTTTTAGATCAGTATTTGAAAAGGACGAAGTTGGTGATGCGAGTACTAGCTTTTCTGCATGGCCTCTTTTCCAAGTTCTTTTAAATAAGCGTCCTTGAAGAGTTTACAAATTCCAAACTACTGTAGTAATGAAAATAAAATAAGGACCGTCCTGTATTGGTAATTAGAAACGGTCAGTGTTAACGTGG